TTTTGAAAACATACATATATGTATATATGTATATATATATATATACACACATATATATATAATCTCTATTGAGAACTAAAAGCGAAGCTGATCTGTTAGTCTGTTCTATGAATGCTGGTGGGTTTGATCTTTTTTCTTCTTTCTGACTTGACTTTCCCTTTCTTTTTCTTACCATTTCACTGTCTTTTCTTTCTGAGCCTTGTAAGTGTAAAAAAATAATAATATCCGACTTTGTTTTTGTCTCGGAGAACTGCAAATAAAATTTAAAAAGAAACACATGCACAAACCCAAACACAAAAAGGGGGGTTAGAAGAAGCATTGGGGAAAAAAAAAAACATCTCGAGTGTTTCTGAGCTTTTCTATCAAGCTTTCTTTTTTTCCATATCCTGCTTTCTACATGCTGCCGAGTCGATTTTAATACAGAAATGCAGCTGTCAGCCTTCCTAGGCAATTAAAGTGAGGGAATATTCTTTGTCTGCAATACACACTTGGAAGTCTGCGTTCATGTTTTCAAAGCATACTATAGCATCCAGCTCCTGATCAGGTTTTTTTTTTTTTTTTGATTGCTGTATTTGCATCCTTTGACTCAATCCGGGCAGAAATGAGAAGAATAAAATAAATATAAAGAATGCGTCATTCTAAGGTTAGATGAACCGATGGGAGGGGGACAAGATCCCTTGCAAACAGTGCACAGATAGCCCTTGTGATGACCCAGGGCCCCGAACCGAGGCAAAGCACTTAAGCTGGTCAGAATAATTGTCTTTGTAAGCACTGCCAACGTTCACCCAACAGCCCCCACATATGCTGGCACAAGTTCAATAAAACAGTCAACGGAGTTAAACAGTTCTTTAAAGTAAAACAGATAACAAAGTATGATTTTTTCCACGCCCAGCTTGCCTGTAACCTGCAAACTGCAAAACTGAGGACAGCAAGGAGAACTCAGCAGGAAACAAACTTGATCCAAAATACAAAGAGTCCAGGTACAAGAGCTCACATCACAAGAGTTCACGTTTGTTCCCGGCAAATGCCCCACCCCACAGCGTCTCCTTAAATACCTACTCCCCAGGTGTGCCTTGTGGAGTGGGGCGTGATGCTCTCCTCCCGGGCAAGTGAGCCTGCCTCCGTTGTTCCCTCCTCCTCTCTGTTCTCCTTGCTCTGGGATCTGGTGGGGAAGGGCCTTGCTCCTCGCCTGAGCTCTGCCTTCCCTGTTCCAAACCTGAAGGGCCCTGGCTTGCTTCAGCCTGCTCCTCCCCACAGTCCTCCGAAGCCACAGACACCCCCTCCTGAGGCATGACAGCCCTTGACTTACAACCACAATTGAGCCCCAAACTTTCTGTTGCTAAGTGAGACATTTGTTAACTGAGTTTTGCCCCCATTTTACGACCTTTTTTGCCAGTTAAGTGAATCACTCCAGGTGTTAAGTTGGTCACACTTTGGTAAGTGAACCTGGCGTCCCCATTGACTTTGTCAGAAGGTTGCAAAAGGTGATCACATGACCCAGGGACACTGCAACCTGCAACCATCATAAATACGAGTCGGTTGCCAATCGCCTGAATTTTGATTACGTGACCATGGGGAGGCTGAAGTGGTCATAAGTGTGAAAAGGGGTCATAAGTCACTTTTTCAGTGCCACTGTAACTTCAAACAGTCACTAAACAAATTGTAAGTCGAGAACTAGCTGTATTTATCAGGATAATATTCCAGGAACACTGGAATTGAAGAGTAATTTCAACCGAGGCCTTGTGCAGCGTTCCCAACCTCCTGCAGGAAATTCTATTTATGGAGGATCTGAATACACTTTGGCCTACTCTGCCTCTGTGAGGTCTGCTTTGGGAGAAAAAATCCGGAAGAAAAAAGAAAAAAAATGAGAATGCTATGCCTTTTTAATTGATAATATATATATATAAAACCCTTGTCTTCAAAACCTCTGGAGGTGGAGGTGTAGCATCACAATGTACACTCGCTCTTCGTGGACACCATGACCACAGAAACATCACGGTTTCTGCAGCTAAGAAAGTAGCAGGACTGATTAGATATTTAGGATTTTGGTGGTATCATTCCTCCTTTTTTGTATAATGGATAACTTGTTGAAAACACATGCTTTGTCTTAAGAGGTAAAGGTAACACTCCATACTTCCAATGATGGATATGCAGCTGTATAGAAAATGACTTTTACCTCAGGACAGAAACCTGGGTTCAATTGCTCTAGGGCTACAAAAATATCTAGCTGGGCATATCTTCCAGTCTTATTTATTAAATTTACATGCTGCCCATCTGGCTGTCCAAAGCAACTGTTGGTCTAGGTCAGGGGTCTTCAAACTTGGCCCTTTTATGACTTGTGGACTTCAACTCCCAGAATCCCTCAGCCAGGGCCAAGTTTGAAGGCCCAGGAATTTGAATTGAGGGAGGATTTCTACGGCTGGCCTGGTTGCTTTAGGAAGATCTCATTAACTGCCATTAAGAGCATAACAATTAATGCAAAAATTTAAGATATTCATTCTTCATTTATTTGTAGACTTGATTTGACAGACTGACCTGATCTGCTTGAGTGTCATTCAGCTTCTTGTTACACAGGCTTTGGATCCCTTATATATTTATCACAAGTGACCACACCAGCTAGGAAATACCCGATGGACATGGCATTGGAACAAGTTGATTTAAGGTTGATAGACTCTGTTTTTCAAAGCAACCCTCATCGGCTGGGTTGGCAGAATGAAATATTCTGCCAAAATGGGATTGCTTCGTAATTTGGGTTTTGAGGAATTGTGTTATCAGGAGTCTAAGTCATTATTTTGGGGTCATAATAGAAATGATTGAAACATTGTTAATACAATATACCTTAATCCGGGCATGGAGTGAAAAAAAATATGCAAACACAGCCAATTTCTCTGGAAGAATATATTATAATATTGGGGGCACATCTAATATGACCCCAACTAAAATCCTCACAGAGATAATAAGACACAACCAATTCTAGATGATCAAGTGACCACTTTATCCACATAAGTAAGTATATTCCAATATCCAGTACATACAGACATTAAGCGATATTTATTAAAATACAATCTTTAGTAAAAGCTTCAACATTAGAAAGAGGTTAGGAATTCGTGAGCCTAAGGGGGCAAAAAAAAGTAACACGGGCATGTTTCTACAGTACTGTACATTTCAAATCACAGAATGAGGAGAGGAGAAACCATTTTTACAGCAAGTAGTAGCGAAACTCCTTGCAATGTTCCTTCTACCCTCTTAAATCTTTCGGAGCAAAGTTAAGAGCCCACCAGGAACCGACCACTGCAGAAATGGGCTTTACTGAAAATAGGACAGCCCTTAGGTTGGTGCATCGGAAGCAGACACTGGAGGAAGAAAAAGAATTAAGGCTGGTGATTTCTGGCACCAACAAGGGTGCTGCATCAGGTCTGCCGATGTAGCCTCCGCACGAGTCACTGGTCTTTCACCCAGGTCTCTTCCCCCCCAAAAAAAGGCCTCACAAAGCAAATGTAGCCAAGTTGCCAAATCCCAGGATGGACCCATTGCTGCTCAAGTCAAACAGAAATGTGTTCAAACCCCAGGTTGCTGACTTGTTCCACTTCACTGAACCGGCCCTAGGTTGATGCATATAAACTGCATGGAAGGTGGCAGTTGGCCCAAGTCGTTATCAAGAGCTGGTGCAACTGTGCATGATGGGCACACTTCAAGAAAGGAATAATGCAAGCCGGAAATGGGATTCCTCCTCAAAGAACCTTCAACTCTGCCTTAAATTGCTCTATGTCATTCTGTTATTTTGTCTTCTTGGCACTAACTGGTTCCTTGCTAATGGGCAAGGACAGCTTCTTCCGGGCTTTTTACGTGCCTCTTGTGAAATGGGAGAGACGGCTCAGTCAGTGATGTCAGTTTACCAACAGGGTTAGGAAAGCTGCTGCCCAAGATATTACTGGTTACTCATCCTGAGCCTAGAAGACAGACTTCTGTCCCTATTCTTGGATTAATATATTGGAGGAGTGATCGTTCCACCATGCACAAACGTGCCATGGATAGGCAAAAGCTCCAAGTGGTGTGTTTTTCCTATTGCCTAGCTGAATTGCTTCATGAAGGACTCCTGGTTGGGGATCAGCTGACTTTGAGAGACATGGTGTGCAGACATATCCAACCCAGTTACATTAAAACAAAACACTTGGGGGGGGGGAAAGGCAGAAATACAACTGTAGAATGGTCTCCCTACCCACCCTGCCCCTCCAAAAGGACAGCATGGGCCTTGGAGCTGAGATGCCACTGACCCAAAAAACGAAAGCATTAATAACATTGCCTACATTTACATAAAACCAGTGGGGACAAATTCTCCAACTGGGAGAATGCAGCCTTAGCCAGGACATCACAAGACAACACCAAGCTGCGTGGTTGCAGCAACTAACACACTTAGACCCAATACGGGATAGCTCATAGTCTACAAGGCTCTGGTATAATGGCTAGTGTAAAACAGCAGCTTATTCTTCGGGGTGCACATATGTTTAAGAAGGGCTGCTGGTTAATACCAGGGCAGGTACACTGTCAGAACAGCAGCCATAACACATCGTGGGATGCCTGGATTGCAATATACCCCCCCAAATTCATTTCACATCCTGCTGAACAGTGTAGAAAGAGCAAGCTGTCAGCTAGAAGAGTTACCAGCTTTTCATCAATAAACCCAACCTGAACAAACTACAATCTCCAAGAGCGCCCAGGGGGCGCCCAGCCACGCAATCCCTTCTCAACGAAATCCTGGGTTTGATCAGTGGCAAAGGTACCGGATAAGAGAGGGAGCTATATGCTGCTGCTTATATCGTTGGCAAAAACAAGTCTGACTCAGCGTCGGAAGAAATTTCCCACCTAGAATCGGCGACAACTTAAAAGCATGTCGATATCCATACTAGTCCCAAAACCCCTTTCCCACCTCTTTGGAGTGCCTTCTATATTACAAAGTATAATCAGTTCTCGGGCTGCCTTAGAGATCTTTTTCCCCCCCCCCTTCTTTCTTTCACGCAGAACGCAGAGATCCATGTTCTCTGAATAATTCTGAATGGGTTCAAAACAGGTTGGGTTTTGCTTCGCTTCCCAAAATCAGCATCCGACATTTTTAAGACACAAGGATACTGTGCAAGGCTGGAAAAAAGGCATTTTCAGAGGGCCAGATAGTTTTTTTTTTCTTACTCTTATGTATGCACAATGAGTCTGTTTATCTGTTTGTAGTTTTGGAAAGGTGAGCAGCAAATCCCCACACAGATTATCAGGCGACGACCAAAACAGGAATGTGTGTGAGCATCAGGATCCACTCTCATCTCTCTTCGCGCCATCAACCTAATATCCCAGATATTCTCTTGCCATGAAAGTTAAGATTTTTTTTTTTCCAAATAAGGTTTTAATTTCATGGACCCCCAACATGGTAGCCTATTTCTTGCCTCCAGTGTGGCTTGAGACGGCTGAATCTGGAAACAGCTGCTGCTGTAGTTACATGTAGGTGTTGCCCCTCTCTCCAGGAATCTTGAAATCAAATCAAATCCAGATAGTCCAAAGCAGGTGGTGAAGGTACACGGTGGATGGAGTCACATGATGTCACAGCATGAATTCTGCTTGCGGGCCTTCCAGGTCAGGAGAGGTGGGAATAAACACACACTTATTAAGTATTTATATTCGGATTTATTACTAAGAGATGTCTCCTTGGATTTTTGGAGACTGTGGAAGCTGCAGTCCCTTCCGTGATGGAGAGCTAACCTGTGAAACCATGTATCAAGAATGTACTCCTATGCCAGTTTTATATATATATATTATTGGTCACGAATATACCTGATGGTCTATTTGACCCCTCTTTCAAACCAGTGAAAACAAAACCTTTTCAAGGGGAAAAAAAACTAAGAAAGTCCACTTGTCTTTTGAAAAGCAGCTTTGGGACAATTATGACCTGGATCATAGTTGGCATTTTGTTTCCAGACCATCATCTCCATTGACTAAAAATAACCTATTGCCTCATAAATCATTGCAGGAAGATAAGGAAACATTGTCTATATTGCTGGGCACTGGCCCAAATATACTTACAGTTTTGTAAAAGGCTTTTGACTGATTTCCAAGAATCTCTGACTTGGCCACTAAGTCATCCAGTTTCTCTCCTCGTTCTAACAAGGACTCCATTGTATTGTGCTAAAGGGGGAAAAGACACAGCTGAGAGAGAGGGAACTGCAAGTCCCTAACTTATAAACCCAGCTGTAGAAGAGGCAGCAAACACGGGCGCCTGTGAAGTGCTGTGGCTGTGCTCGCTCTGTAATGCAGAACTTAAATTTCCAGATTTTCCCTTCACCCACCTTCTCAGCTCTCTAATCAAGCGTTTCCACTTTCTGATTTGGGAAAAAAGTTTAGGAAGCGTCATCGGTTAGGCCAGGGGTAGGCAACCGTGGCTCTTTTATGACTCGTGGACTTCAACTCCCAGAATCCCTGAGCCAGCCATGCTGAGGGGAAAGGGAGAGGTTTCCAAGCTGAGCCAGGCTGGCTCAGGAATTCTGGGAGTTGAAGTCCACGGGTCATAAAAGAGCCACGGTTGCCTACCCCTGGGTTAGGCCTTTGCCTACATTTGCCTCTTAAGGAGACCAACGGTAGCTTGGTCTGCCACTACTACTATCATTAAATCAGTTCTTTCATTTTTAGTCTCTGCCACAATGCTACCCAAGAGCTAAACTTGAAATTTAACCCGAAACAAAAATGTTTGTCTCAAAGGAATCGTTTTTTGCCGTCCTATGAATTTGACAATGGGATCCTATAAACGCCATTCTCCTAATCGTTTAAAATTAGGAGCAAGAATCTGCTTTCTCTCCACCAGTGCTAAAAATACAACACTGTAGAGTTTGTCAGGTGTAGAACCTGTTCTGTAATATTCCATACACAGCACAGCACACCTTGTGATCTTAATGGCGGCCTACAGATTTTGTCCCACTCACAGCCTGTTCGCCTGGATGTGGACTGTCACTCACACTTTTTTAAAATTTTTATTTTTATACCACCTTTAGCATTTGACAGAAATATTTAATTTTTAAACAGTATCAATGTTCTATTTGAAACCGGTGGATCACTTTAAATTTCTGATGATTGGGATTTATTTTGAAGTAACTTTGGTGGAGCAGAAAATATTTATATTTGAATGTGTGTAATACAAGACACATGAATCAACTGCTTGCAATCCAATCAATATTAGCATTTAGATGAAAATTGCTCTGATGACACCCATAATAACCAACAAAAAGGAGGTCACAGCTAAGATAAAAATTAGTCATGACCTACTTTTATCTGATTGCATCATGTTTTCATGTTGGCTTGAAGAATTACGTGTGATCATTAAAAGCCTGAATTAAGAACTAACCAGAGACAGGAAGGAACACCTAGAACTAGATTCACATATACAAAAAAGAGAAGAAGTTTGGTTTTGATAGCATTCACTGCCTCAAAAGGAAGAGATCCTAACAATGATTTTAAAATAGGACTGTATTTACTGAGTCTGCACTCTGAATGCCATACACAGATGCCATACCAAATAAATCTCCTCACTAAGGTTTTCTCCTACAGCAGGGGTAGGCAGCCTTGGCTCTTTTATGACTCATGGACTTCAACTCTCAAAATTCCTGAGCCAGCATGGCTGGCTCAGGAATTCTGGGAGTTGAAGTCCACGAGTCATAAAAGAGCCAAGGTTGCCTACCCCTGCCCTAGAGTTTGTTTGTTTTTTTAAAGCCACACAATTATGTCCTGCTTCCAAATTGAACTGGCATCTAGCAATCTCCATATTAACAGCAAGATGCTGACCACTTACCAGGATCACTTTGGTCTCATCCAATTCGGCTTGCACTTTTGTCATTGCGTCAGCATCACGAGGATTCTTAAAGAGCAACACAGAATTTTATTTGATGATGTTGTTGACAAGATACCAAAAATCGTCATTAAGCTGTTTATACAACATTAGAATGGAATATTTGGGAAAAGAGACTTCTTCAAATATACCAAGCCCTGCAAACTCAGACCCTATCATGCCCTAAATACTAGAAGATTTTATTATAATATTTATTCTCTCTGCTGTTCCTAGCAACCAACCACTGCTATGTAACACAATAAAAAACAAATGCAGTCAACAATGTCAGAGGAGAAATTTTAGGAAAACAGCCTCTTAAGACAATGTCAGGGGGGGGGGGAAGTGGGGCCAAATAATACCATTGCAGACTTTATTTGTTAAAAGTTAAATCATGCATTACAGGCATTGTGGACTCAGTAAGTCGAGTTACGACCACAATTGAGCCTTCATGTTGCTAAGTGAAACATTTGTTAAGTGAGTTTGCCCCATTTTACAACATTTCTCGCCAGAGTTGTTAAGTGAATCATTCTATTTGTTATGTTACTAACATGGTGGTTCGGTGAATCTGGCTTCCCCATTGACTTTGCTTGACAGAAGGCCGCAAAAGGGGAACACGGCAACCGTCGTTAAATATGAACCAGTTGCTAAGCATCTGAATTGTGATCATGTGACCACGGGGATGCTGCAACGGTTGTCAATGTGAAAAATGGTCATGTCATTTTTTTTCAGTGCTGTTCTAACTTCAAATGGTCACTAGATGAATTGTTGTAAGTCCAGGACTACCTGTACAAATAAAATCAACTTCTATTTGTATGAATGTGGAAAAAGACATTGGCTTGAGAGATCAGGTTATTTCGCTGATTTCCCAGAAATCAGATGAAACAGATGTTTCATTTTCTGACCATTTATATTCAGTCCAGCCATACCTGATATCTACTAAGGTATCCATCCAACGCTGTGTAAGTTATTGTTGCTGGAGTTCCAGAAGGCCAGTCTATCCTATTAACTTGCCTAGAGAATTCATCAAGGACCTGTAGACAGAAGACCAAGAGAAAACCCAGATTTTGAAAGACTTACATTCCTTGGAAGCAATTCTATACAGCAATCCTCAAAAATGGTATCAAACTGCATTTTTCTTGAAGCTCAGGCAGCATTTTGGAATAATCAGTCTAGATGAAGGGATCCTTGCAGGTAATTAAAGTGAGCATCAGAGACAAATATTTTATAAATTCCAGAATTATATAATGGGGAGGGACTGTGTGCAAAGAAAAGCAGAAAGCAGAAACAGTGACCATTTTTAGCAGTATTCACTTTTCACATAATGGTGTTGACTCAGACAACCTGATGTAGTGAGGTAATAATGTTGCCCATCATGCCAAGGTGATAAGCTACACATACGATTTTCTTTAAACCCAATTCTGACCACAGGTAACAGAATTAAAGGTCTGAATGCATTTTAACTAGAGTTAGCGGAGTTCAAGTTATCAAAAGCACTACAAGACCCTTAAATGTTTCTTCTCCATATCTGGGTTTGGTGCTGTATGGGCAAACTTTCTGTTCTCAAGCGACTTTAAAACTTTTGTTAGGCAAAAAGCTCAAACTTTGGAGCGCATCTGGGCTTAAAGGCCCATAATTCCCCAAACAGCGTATCTATTGGTAAAAATTCTGGAAGCTGAAATCAACACATCATAAAGTTGCCCAGGTTGGAGAAATGCTACTCTACAAAAAGTAGTAGCCTGTCACAATACTTCAGTACTTTATAACTGAAAGTAATCTTCAGCATACAAGACTGTCATGAATTTAAAAATTCATTTTAATGCATTTTTTTCCTCCACCAACCTCTCCTGCATTATCACACACAGTCTGTGTGTGTATATGTGGCAGTCCCAAAGGGAGCATTGCTTTGTAAACAACATTGTTGCTGCTGTTTTATATCTGGCGTATTTTACTCTCTGGTTTATCAAATTCACCCGCCAAATATACATCTCTCTGGCCATCTTTATTAATTCTAAATGGCATTTTACCCTAGGCCAGGGGTAGGCAACCTTGGCTCTTTTATGATTCGTGGACTTCAGGAATTCTGGGAGTTGAAGTCCACGAGTCATAAAAGAGCCAAGGTTGCCTACCCCTGCCCTAGGCTAATCTTGGATTATAAATTATGATTCGTGCAAATTAGTTTAATGTGATGTCCAAAGTGAGTCAGAGCTCTATTTACAAGCAATTTCAACCATGAAAGCACCTACTCTGTGTTATCTTGCAGTCCATCTGCAGATATCCAAGTCCTCCCTGCCCAAGCTGGTATTTACCTTATCCAACAAAGTGAAACAAACCCGGGATGGATATTCATGATCTGCAATTACCACTCCAGCCAAACCATCATTCCGTAGATAAACATGGCAGAGGTATTCTGAAATAAAGAATAACATGAACAATGAACATTTTCTCATATAAAATTCCACAGAATTTGTGAAAAAGAACCACAGGCTTTTACTAGATCCTCCCAACTCACCAGTCCCTTTGTTTATTTTAGATACAAGTTGGCTGAGCTCTTTAACTCTCAATCTGAATATAAGATTCATTATGGGGGGAAAAAAAAACCCAGAATCCAGCTCCAAACAGGAATAGGAATCTTGTTTGGGTCACATTCCAATTCGTTCTGATTTGAAATTATATGCTCATATGTATACATGGCCAAAATTCAACACCATTCAAAAGCTCCATTAAACACGTGTACGCACACACATGGGATATGAGTATATGCAGCTAACTTTAGAGAAAGAGGTGAATTTATAATTATAGTTATAACTGCTGTAAAGAAGATCGGAAGCCACTTTGTATCTTTTTTCTATTTTTCTTTCTTGCCCTTTTAGTGCTCTCTTGGTTTCTTTTTTCTTCCTTATTCTGTATTAGTTCGTATTAGTTTTTTACTTTTTATTTTTTTCAAAGAAGGTTTTTTTTTTAAAAAGTAACTATTTAAAAAGTTTTTAAAAGTTTTATGTAAGATTTAACAGGACTGAACGCCATACACAATTCATCTTCTGTTATTACAACTTGCCTTACAAAAAAATTGGTGCATGTAATCTAATTCTAACTCCAACTATTAGCAGTTTATGATGGATTCTTTGACCAAGAAGAGCAGTTTTACAAGGAATCTTTTTACTGTCTCAACACCCCGTACAAAGGATCCTGTGATGCTGTCATCCAACTTTAATAGCAATAGCTACCTTGACAAATATTAATATCATATTCACCAAATTCCTAAGAAATTCAATTGTTTAATTCAGTTTGACCTAGAGAAACCATCCAGAACATTCCCTTAGATCAGGCATGTCAAACTTGTGGCCCATGGGCCGCATCCGGCCTACGTAGGCCACGCCCACCCTGGCGCCAAGGCGAAAAACTCCCGATTCGTCACCATACAATTGCCTGCATTGCGGGATTTGACACCCCTGCCTTAGATAATTTCCAACGTGTTTTTTTTTCCTTACAGAGCAATTATTATCTACATCTTCTTTATCGGCATTATTTTCAATGTCAAGCTCTACACTTCACATTTGCAGATATACACCCTTATTTGTTTACTGTAGTTCCTTCTAAGGCAAACTACTGTGTATGCCTACCTTGTTCCTTTATAGAAGCTCTACTTCCAAGCTCTGAACGCTCTACTATCAGTTGACTTGTGAAGGTCATAAATTCTTGAACGCTGAAAGTTAAATAAATAATAAAACCCCTCACAATTAGTTACCAAACCATCCATATTTAAATCCACTGTGAAGAAAATAAATTTTATTAGCAGTATCAGCTGCTAACAAAAGATAATAATTACAGCATAAAAACTGTAAAAGCACATGATATAGATGACCAGGCCAAGCCTGAGGGAGGCATCAAGCGCGTCATCAATCTGGAGTCCCTTCATACCCTAAAAAGATCTAAATCCAGGCCACCTTGGATTCCATTGACTCTTACCTCCCGCCAATTTGCTTTGATCATTGGTAGTTCAGATTCTGAACATGGAGAGTGTTAGCGTGCAATAAATCTGTATTCAGCTGAACCACTCTGGCTCCTGATTTTTTATGCTTGACACATGGTTTTATTTTTTTTTAAAAAGATACTAATTTTCAAAAGCAGCATACAAATAATTAAAAAAAGAAGCATATGAATCCGTAACAGTAAAATAAAGCCAAGGATTAATGAGTGGAAACAATTCATCTATTCAAGTAGGAATTGAATGTATGATTTTTGTGAATAAATGTGGTCTATGCTGCAATTCAACAAGAGTTCAAGTAACTTCAAAAAAATACTTTGAAATGAGTAAGTGAATTCTGAGAAATATTGTTTTCTTTGTTAGACTCCTGTAGTTCTATTTTACAATATCATTTTGCAGGAAGACGAACCCAACATTCAAGGGTCAAATGCAAAACTATATTTAGCCACATATATTTAGAATCAACAGATACAGCATAAACAAATTCAAAACTGCTAGCATTCTGCTTGCAGGTACAAGAATTTATGAATGGATCTGTTCAGATTACCCCTAATAGCAAACGGGGTTAAACCTTAATAGAATTCATATTGAGGTGATGCACTTTAGAAACAAAAGCATGAATGTGAGGTCTATCATTTTATCAGTTATTTTTCACTGCCTTGATTTATAAGTTACATCAGAAAAAAAAAGTATTACATCTCGAATTCAATGCAACCAATTCAAGGGGAAAGCTAATTGATCTTAAAAACGCAGTGAAGACCTACCTGGATCTCTGGAAGAAGCTAAATGATGAGATATCATAAGCAGCTTTTAGTAAGTGCACTTTGGGATCACCTTTGTAAAGAACACTTAGACTGTAAAGCTTCATCTTTTTATCTGTTCAACTTTTCTCGATAACCTGAGCAAAGACAAAAAAAACCACCCACCTTACTTGGTTATAAAGTAAAATACTACAAGGATAAATGCAAATGCGAATTCCTAACCAGATATCTATAATCTCTTTACATAGATACTTTGTACAGCAGAAAGCAAAGGCTAGCAAAACAAACTCTGGTATTAAATACAAGGTGCTTATTTACCTTATTTATCTAGAGCTTGGGGTTCATGATTGCCCTCTGAATTAAGAATGAAATTACTCTGCAACTAATCCTGATATTAAAGCAGCTGATTCATTCTTCCCAAAATAATAGGAAGCGGAGGTGAGTCAGAAATGGCATTAGAAGCCTGAAGGACAAGTTGCCTGATCTAGTTAAGGAGCAGTAAATAAACTACTCCCAACCCAGGATGGTTTGGCACTTATTCACTATTCCAAATCCATTTTGCCATCTTTGGACCATATGGGTAAAATCTTTGGCTGGATTCTTTTATATTTTATTTCCATTCCCCTGCTGGATAATACAACTCTAAATGTAGATGATGGAAGGGACTTTTCCAAAGGCTTCCCTTCCGAATCTTCTAACTCGAGGCATTCTTGTCCATGGTTTAAACATGACATTTCCTGATTGATTTCTGACTCCTCACTTGAGTACAGGTAGTCCTCGACTTACGGCCACAACTGAGCCCCAAATTCCTGCGGTTAAGTGAAACATTTGTTATTTTGCCCTATTTTACCATCTTTCTTGCCGCAGTTCTTAAGGGAAATCGCTGAAGTTGTTAAGTTAGTAACATGGTTGTTAAGTGAATCTGGCTTCCCCCCATTGACTTTGCTTGTCAGAAGGTCGCAAAAGCTGATCACATGACCCTGGGACACTGCAACCGTCATAAATATGAGTCAGCTGCCCAGTGTCCAAATTTTGATCGTGTGATTTCTAGGGGGTGGTGCAGCGGTCATAAGCATGAAAAATGGTCGTTAGGTTACCTTTTTTCAGCACCGTTGTAACTTTGAACGCATGTCGAGGACTACCTGCATGTGTATCATGACCCTCTTTTCTTGGGAAAAAAATAACACCCCCAAAGGAGGCCATCTGGAAGAGGCTCATCGGGATAAAACCATTTAAACCGTTTTTACAAAGGAAAATCCCCAAAGGGCAAAACCCCAGAAAACCTTCACCTACACTAGCAGGGGTAGGCAACCTTGGCTCTTTTATGACTCGTGGACTTCAACTCCCAGAATTCCTGAGCCAGCCAAGCTGGCTCAGGAATTCTGGGAGTTGAAGTCCACGAGTCATAAAAGAGCCAAGGTTGCTTACCCCTGACCTACTGCAATGGAAAAACACTCCATCAAACGGCTCGGGTAATATTTTCCTAAAAGACCATTCCATTTCCATTATTTTGCCCACCAAGGCGAAAGGCTTTTGAAAAAAAATAAACCAATCCACGGGGCAGCTTTGCGAAATAAAAGACGGCGACGAAGGAAGGGCCATGAAGTCGTTGCAACGTTTCCCACCCCCACCCCCTGCGCGCATGTCAAGGCCCTCCCCAGGCCCAGAAGCCAAACCGAGAGGCCGCCACGTCCGCCCCCCCCCCCCGCCGCCTTCACAGCCCCGCCGCCCACTCCGCTCCCCAGCAGGGCCTGCAGCCCCCCGGGCCGCCCTTAGAAAAGCCTCCGACACCCTCAGGCAGCTGGCCGGGGATAATGGGCGTGGGTGTCCGAGCAGCCCAGGAGGTCGTAACGATACCGGGGTGGGGTGGGGTGGGGGGTCCTACCGCGCCCCCGCCCCAGCAGGCCGCTTCGCTTCCCGCAAGGACCCACCTTACTACCCGGGGGGGGGGGAGCCTGGCTCGGCCCCGCGTCGCCTCGGAGACGGCTGGAGCGGCCCGAAACAGTGATCCAAGCGGAAGCCGGCGCGCCCTTTGACCCGGAGACAAAAGCCGCCGGAAGGGCTGCCAACTCGACGGCCGGGCTGAGCCATAGAGCTAGGGAAAAAAATGTAGAGCTAGGAAAGGGGAAGAGTCGGCCCCGCGCCGCCTGCTGCCGCGCACGCGTCTGGGCACTGTTCGGAGCTGCTGGAGGTGCGAGGGATGGGGCAATCTCCCGCTGTCGGACTGCCCCTCCCGTAATCTCGAAGCAGCATGGGAGTTGTAGTCCACCACAGCGGTGGAGTGCCACATAAAATAGGATTTGCAAATGCATCCAAATGAATAGGGGGGGCTGCCCCAAAGAAGAGGGTGTCAACCTATTTTCCAAAGCATCAAAAGGCAGGACAAGAAACAATGGATGGAAACTAATCAAGGAGAGAAACAACCTGGGATTAAGGAGAAACTTCCTGACAGTTAGAACAATTAAAGAATGCTCTACACAGAGGGAACAAAACTTCCCCAACCCTTCCTTTAAAGATAACAGAATATCAGAATAGTAGAGTTGGAAGGGACCTTGGAGGTCTTCTAGTCCAACTGTCTAGTTTGGACTAGTATGCCTAGTTTAATGAAGAGAAGGATGAGGGGGGACATGATAGCAGTGTTCCAATATCTCAGGGGCTGCCACAAAGAAGAGGGAGTCAAGCTATTCTCCAAGGCGCCTGAAGGCAGGACGAGAAGCAACGGATGGAAACTGATCAAGGAGAAAAGCGACCTAGAACTAAGGAGAAACTTCCTGACAGTTAGAACAATTAACCAGTGGAACAACCTGCCTCCAGAAGCGGTGAATGCTCCAATGCTGGAAGTTTTTAAGAAGAGACTGGACAACCATTTGTCTGAAATGGTATAGGGTCTCCTGCTTGAGTAGTGGGTTGGACTAGAAGACCTCCAAGGTCCCTTCCAGCTCTATTCTGATTGATTGATTTTAGATAAATGGTTGCCCAATCTCTTCTTAAAACCTCCAGTGTTGGAGCACCCACAACTTCAAGGCCAGATTCCTTTTTGCAACAACCCACAATAAAATTGCCCTCTAACTAGAATAGGTCAAATGATATTCCGTGATTTTTATTTTTAAAGGCAAATTTTCTGCTAGCTGTGCTTGGGTATATCAGCTTTAAGGGGACTGGCACACCCAGGTGAACATGCCTCTATCATCTGCCAGAAGAACATGAGTGTGCAAATACTACTTAAATCTGATATTTCNCCCCCCCCCCCCCCCGCCGCCTACTCCGCTCCCCAGCAGGGCCTGCAGCACCCTGGCCGCCCTTAGAAAAGCCTCCGACACCCTCAGGCAGCTGGCCGGGGATAATGGGCGTGGGTGTCCGAGCAGCCCAGGAGGTCGTAACGATACCGGGGTGGGGTGGGGGGTCCTACCGCGCCCCCGCCCCAGCAGGCCGCTTCGCTTCTCGCAACGACCCACCTTACTACCCGGGGGGGGGGGAGCCTGGCTCGGCCCCGCGTCGCCTCGGAGACGGCTGGAGCGGCCCGAAACAGTGATCCAAGCGGAAGCCGGCACGCCCTTTGACCCGGAGACAAAAGCCGCCGGAAGGGCTGCCAACTCGACGGCCGGGCTGAGCCATAGAGCTAGGGGAAAAAAAATGTAGAGCTAGGAAAGGGGAAGAGTCGGCCCCGCGCCGCCTGCTGCCGCGCACGCGTCTGGGCACTGTTCGGGGGTGGGGGGGATCTCCCGCTGTCGGACTGCCCCTCCCGTATTCTCGAAGCAGCATGGGAGTTGTAGTCCACCACAGCGGTGGAGTGCCACATAAAATAGGATTTGTAAATGCATCCAAATGAATAGGGGGGCTGCCCCAAAGAAGAGGGTGTCAACCTATCTTCCAAAGCATCAAAAGGCAGGACAAGAAACGATGGATGGAAACTGATCAAAGAGAGAAGCAACCTGGAATTAAGGAGAAACTTCCTGACAGTGAGAACAATTAACCAGTGGAGCAGCTTGCCTTCAGACGTTGTGGATGCTCCATTACTGGAGGTTTTTAAGAAGAGACTGGGCAACCATTTGTCTGAACTGGTATAGGGTCTCCTGCTTGAGCAGTGGGTTGGACTAGAAGACCTCCAAGGTCCCTCCCAGCTGTATTCTGATTGATTGATTTTAGATAAATGGTTGCCCAATCTCTTCTTAAAACCTCCAGTGTTGGAGCACCCACAACTTCAAGGCCAGATTCCTTTTGGCAACAACCCACAATAAAATTGCCCTCTAACTAGAATAGGTCAAATGATATTCCGTGATTTTTATTTTTAAAGGCAAATTTTCTGCTAGCTGTGCTTGGGTATATCAGCTTTAAGGGGACTGGCACACCCAGGTGAACATGCCTCTATCATCTGCCAGAAGAACATGAGTGTGCAAATACTACTTAAATCTGATATTTCCATTTCTACATAGCATCCTTCAAAAAGTGTGGACTTCAATTCACAGAATTCCCCAGACAACTGTCTAATAGTGAGTTCTGGCGTTTGAAGTCCACACATCTTAAAAGTGGCCAAGGCTGAGAAAATCTGATATCCAACATGCCCCTTTCCTTCAGATGAGAAAGAAAACAACCAAGTTTACCCAACTTTGTCAATTTCACTGGTGGCTAAGATGGAGGAATCATGATGAAAGCAGACGTCCGGTTTGGAGATGCCCTGGATTGTGGAAAAGGAAGAAGAATCGGCTAAGGAGACTGTGGATATGACCAGCCACCCTTTGTACAAATTGAAAATATGTTTTTACCTCTGTAAGCACAAGAATGGGATAATTACATATCAGTTCAACCACCACATGGAAAACATGGAAGTTACCATGCAAAGTTGACAAAATAGGGAAAAGCACAATAAATAGGAAACACTACCACTTTGCATATTGTTATAGGTAAAAAGTCACTCAAATCTTCAACTGCACATTTCTTGGAGATCCTTGGACATTTGGGACTAGTGGATGTTTTTATACTACTGAATCTTTTGTACTTGTAATACAATAGCTAACAAGCCAAGAGGTCCAAGCTTACCGATCAACAGTGCTTTTTTTCTAAAAAAAAAAAAAAAAAAAAGGTGCCGGAACTCACACACGTAATACAACCCGCCTTGCCTACCCTACAAGGTTCCATCCAAAAAAAGGTGCCAGAACTCCGTTCTGGGCGTTCTATGAGAAAAAAAGCCCTGCCGATCAAGCGTTATCAAGATTAGCTCCAGCCCAAATGGAGGAATTTAACATGGGCCCCCTCGATTCCATAACTCAGAATAGGACCGGCTCTTTTTTATGCCCCCTAATTGTACTAATCTGTTACCGGTAGTAGTAACGCCTGCTCAGGTTATAATTCCCATGGTACATACTGAGAGTAGAAATGAGGACAA